AGTAGTTTTCACCCCATTTTGCAAAAATGTAAACTGAGGCCCAAAGAAACAATGTGACTTGTGGAGGAGTGACTAAGCTTCGAGTTTTGTTGAGGCCCAGTTATTCCAGTTTTCTGGTCTTTCCACCCCCCAGGATCCTCTTGGTTTGGGGATGGGGCTTGGGGCTGAGAAGAACAGCGATAGCCTGCTTCTGTCACACCTTGGAACTTGCCATGGGATGGTGTCTCTGTGGCAGAGCCCAAGTTTTGGAGTGTAGCTTCTGTCTCGGACAAGTCATTCATCTCACTTAGCCTCCGTTTTTTCATCTACAAAATGGATATGGTAAAGCTGGCTTTTCAGGGTTAAGTGAGATAATGCAAGCTAAGTGCCTGGCATGCAGTAGGTGCTGGACAAGTCCAGCCCAAGCCCTCTGCTTGCTTGACCTTGTGTACCGACCCTACAGGTTGCTGATTCTTGGCTTGGTGATCTACCTGTTAAGACAGCAATAGGGTAGGGAAGAGTATTGCTGTGATCCCACTTGAGCTTGCTCTTGTTCATGAGGTTGACCAAGAGGTATCTGGGGATCCCAGTAACCAAACTCACCTAAATTCAGACCCAACAGAAAAAAATGACTTCTGAATTTATAACCTCCCTCTTACCACACTGTCAGTATTATAAGCATTTGCTCCTGGGTATGTAGGTAGCAGAAGCAGTTCCTTTTATAGAGAGGGAAATTGAAGGACAGAGAAAGTGATTTCCTGATCAGGCTCACTTGACACTTCCTTCAGGAAGTTTAGAGTAGGATGAAAGCACTTCCCTGCTGGGCTTCTCCAGACTGATTTTTGTCTAGTCCTACCTTCTTTTGTTCATTTCAGCTGAGAGGCAGTTGAGTTAAAACTCTAGCTCACTGTTTTGAACTTCAGCCCACACCCCTCCAGCAAAATAATCAGCATTCATGTAGCCCAAGCCAAGGAAAGAGACGTCTTTGTTCAAATCGTCCCACTGTACTTTGGGAATCCAGAAACCTGGCAAACAGGCTTTTAAGTTAATAGATTTTATTTAATGACACCAAGAGTCAGCCTTCCCATAGCGTGTGCAGGTGTTTTGGTCTCCTCTCTTGGGAATCTGTGTGACTCATGTGCCTGAGGGCATGCTGTTAACTGAACCACCTTTCACAGCTGTTCAGCTCAGGGGCACAGGCTCTTCTCTGGGGGAGAGGACGGATCTTGAGTGAAACCTGTCAGGGGTATACCTCAGTCTGAGGAGCTGAGGAAAGTCAGTCTCTGCCCCACCAGACTCTTAAGTGGGGAACATGCCTCTAAGATGATTCTTTCAGTATTGTCTCACTTCAGGAGGCTATACACATCACACCATTGTTCAGAACAGTGTGATAAACGACCTCCAGAACTTTCCATCCAAGCCAGCTTTTCAGCCAAGTAAGAAAATTGTTTTTGAGACGTTTTTCTTTTTTTAGGTGGGGGGGGGCAAGAGGAGGGGCAGATGGAGAGAGGAGAGAGAGAGAGAGATTTTTAAGCAGGCTCCATGCCCAGTGCAGAGCCTGACATGGGGCTCGATCTCAGGACCCCGAGATCATGACCTGAGCTGAAATCAAGAGTAGGACACTTAACTGACTGAGCCACCCAGGCACCCTGAAACTTTTTTTAAAAAAGATTTATTTATTTATTTATTTATTTATTTGAGAGAACGAGAATGAGAGAGAGAGAGAGTACATGAGAGGGGGGAGGGTCAGAGGGAGAAGCAGACTCCCCGCTGAGCAGGGAGCCCGATGTGGGACTCGATCCCGGGACTCCAGGATCATGACCTGAGCCGAAGGCAGTTGCTTAACCGACTGAGCCACCCAGGCATCCCCCACCCTGAAACTTTTTTATATCCTTAGTTTTGGGGTACCAAATGGTGTCCCAAGCATGACCACCACCTGTTGTTGTTGTTGTTGTTTTAAACTAGTTGTAATTCCAGATAACTAGTTATTTCCCAAAGTCGTATTTACCCTTGGGAGACCTAAGAGATCATTACCCTTATTGGGGAGATTCAGAGGAACATCCTCTGAAGGCAGATCTTGTCACTCGGCTGAGTGGGTAGCTGTGTGCACTTTGTTCTTTCAAAGAGCCAGGTCGGGGACTGCCAGGTAGAGGTTGAAACTGTTGCTTGAGTTGGGAGCTGTCCCTGCCCCTGGAAAGCCCTAATGAAGACATTCACTGTTTAGAGAGACAACACGGTCTCTTCTCTGGGGCAGATATAGTTTGGGCTTTAGTCATATCACCTGATAAGCCAGCTGTCTCTGGGTGTGGCTGAGCAGAGGTCTCTGAAGAATGAAGAATGGAATTGTCTTCATGTTTTTCTTTCTCCTCCTCTTGTACTCTGCCACCCACACCCCCCATGCCCCCGCAACCACTGTGTTCCACTGCCCCTCACTGATGTTCAGTGTTGGGACCACAACCAGTTCTTCTGCAGATGAAATCTTTTCATAATTGGCTCCCTAGGTGGTGGCTGTACCATCTTTCTTCACCCATCCAAGGCTGTAGGACAGTACTGTTGTCTGGAGGAGCTCCCTGGCCGGCCAGCATCCCCGAATGGGGTGGGTACATGGGGCTAGAAAGCAGGAGGTGATTAAAGTCAGAGCTCCAAATTGTAAGGTACAGAAAGGGTGCAAGTGGCCATCTATCCTGGATCTTCTGGGCCAGTCACACATCCAAATAGCCTTTTCTTTGTCCCACAGAAGAGAAACAGCATATCAAGTTGATGGAATGTGATGTGGTCATTTAAAGTGATGTGGATGTGGGGTGTCTGGCTGGCTCAATTGGTGGAGCGTGTGACTTGATCACAGGGTTGTGAGTTCAAGCCTCATGTTGGGCATAGAGCTTACTTAAAAAGGAATAAAAATAAAGAAAGAAATAAAATGATGTGACTGTGTTTAAAATAATGGAGAAAATGTTTAACTTACAATAAGCTTTAAAAAAATCATAATGCAGAATCATAAACACAGTATGGTAAGAGTTATATAAAAACAAAAAAAAGCACTCTTTCCCCCCCACCACCCCCAAAGCCAGACATATAAAAAAGAATGGAAGTATATATACCAAGTGTTAAGAATGGTTTTCCTTTGGGTGGCAAGACTGTGATAATTTTTTTTCATTCCTTTTAGCTTTTTAAAAAACATTTCCCGAATATTCTATAATAATCCTCTGTCCGTGTCTTAAATGGGAGCAAGGTAAACTTGATAAATCCCAAAGAAACCGATTTTATTGTCAGACTTTGTGTCCTGAATGTTGGCGTAGAGCTATAGCCGCCGTAACTGAGAACTCATCTTTGTCTCAACCTCTGGAAATCCGAACGTCAGGCAAGCCTAGGTTCCAGACAGACGTTTTGGGCATAGTTCTGCCTGGAGGCAGGGGCTGGACAAGGCAGCCTCTCAGGGCCCCTCTCACCCCCCCGGCTGGCGATTCTCTCTCTGCCACATGCAGCCTCTGCCAGCAGTGAGCGGGCTGAGCATGGTGACATTCTCTGAGTGGGGAGCAGTAACAGAAGTCTGGCTGGGATGGAGACCGGGGGCGGGGAATCTGGAGTGAGTGCCTGAGCTGATAAGGAGCCAGTGATCTTTCTGCCTTGTGGGACTTGCACCTCCAGCTGCCAAGCACCCGGTAGAGCTCAGCCCCCTGGAAAGCTGGTTCCACTGCAGTGGTCCCGCCGTTGGCACAGCTCTGAGAGCACGGTGGTCATGGCTCCTTCTGCGAAGAAGTGATGGTGCAGGGTGTCGGCGCTCTGTCTTGGGGCACAGGAAGGATTCCTTATCCTTTGAGTGGTAGTGGTTTTGAAGGAAGCGGCCTATCTCCAAGGTGGAAACTAGGATTTTCCCTCATGGCACCTCTGTAAAAGGGAGCCTGGCGAACGGACACCCAGAGTGCTGCTTCCTCGCTGTGTCTTGCCTGCATCCTCCATCTCTTCAGGCTCCTGGCCCAGGCTTCCAAATCCGATTTTCTCCACTCAGGCAGAGCGCCTCAGTGTACTGCAGCTGCCTGGGTCGTGTTGCCCGTCAGAGAACCCAGCCACAGAACAAGGAGACTCACACATTGAGGAAGGCTTACTGATCCTGGAGTTAGTAGAGTCTGGGAATCAGGCATCAAGCTGTTGGAGGATAGGCACTGAATTTGTTGGAGGCACTTGCCGCCACCCGGGCTTGGAAAGACTGGTGAATGCTGGGGCTGTGCGGAGGCAGGTGAGAAGGGTTCTCTGTAGTGTCTCTTGAGTGTCATACTGAGATGTTCCCAGAGTTCTGGCTCTCCCAGGGCAGGCGGACCTTCTTGATGGGAAGCATGGTGTCTCTGGGTGCTGTTGGGGACACACAGAGGGGATCTCCGCTGGGGGCCCAGGCATGTTTCATTGCTTCCTGCTCCCAGGCATGGCACAAGGGGTTAATATCTCTGATGGTTCTATTCTGGGGCAAAGGAGTGTTCCTAGAATAGGAGTCTTTGTTGAGTAATCTATTTTGGGAGGCAAGCCCCACTGGCGTTTATATAAGCGATTCTCTGTGTGTATCTGGGGGTGCGGATGTGTGCACAAGTGATTTCTTATTACTAATTAGAAGCAGCTTCTTTTGGGAGCCAGAGAAATGGAGGGGTCTGTGTGTGTGTGTGTGTGTGTGTGTGTAAGGAGTATGGGTTGCTCTCCTGTGAGGAGTGGCACAACTGTGCGTGCCCATCTGATTGGGCAGTTGCCACAGACACCCGGGTAAAAGAGTATACATGGGAACCTTAGGACAGCAGGCAGGAATGCCGGCCTTGGCCCCTTTGTGCGGTGTCAGCGGCAAAGGTGTGAGCATCTATGATCATCTTGATTCCCTGAAGCACATGGACATTAAGGTCTTCTAGCTACAGTCTGGAGTCAGGTGGTCTCCGGAACATCAGTCATGGCACATCAACCAGCTCTAGTCTGGAACAAATCTCAGATTCCACTTCCACTGCAGCCCAGGCTTACTTACTGGACTCTCCTATGTCTTCCCACAGGCCACATCCACATATGTCGAAGCAAGAGAGAAACCAAAGACCATCCAGCATGGTCAGTGAGACGTCCACAGCTGGAACCACGTCCACTGTGGAGGCCAAGCCTGGCCCCAAGGTGAGCTCCTGGCCACTCACTCCTTCCTTCCACCCTTTAATATTTTGCAGATGCCCAATGACCCCCACCATTGTTTTGTGAGGGAGGCTTCTCCTGAGACCATTTGGGGTGATGTCACTTGTCCAGGAAAACAGGTGATTGCTGGCCGAACTGGGACTGACATCCAAGTCCTTAGATGCCTTCATCATTTTCCTGGCTTAGCTTGGGAGGGTCACACCTCTGTTCACAGGTGTGTTATGAGCCTGCCTTGTGAAATTTGTGGCCGGGTGGCCCTGAGGAAAGTTGAGAGGTGGGACCCTTGACTGAGGAGCAGGGAAAGAACCAGCATTGCAGAGAAGGGGTGAGTGCTGAGGAATGAACCCAGATAGGACGGTAAATATCTGGAAATTGGCAAAAATCTGTGACCGAAAAGTAGCTTTGCTCCAGAAAGAGTAGCACATATGAGGGCCAACAGCTGCTGGTGAAAGTTGATTGAAAAATCCCTTTAAGTTTTTTTTTCCTCCGTGACTCAGATGGGAAGCTTGCTAGGCCTTGGATTTGCTTTTTAATTAAAATACTATGGCCACGTGCCCGCCTGTTTTGGTTTCCTTGCTATTCTTTCTATCAAAGGGCACTGCCACTTAGAGTAAGGTAGAGGAGCCTGCAGCTCTCCTCTCACGCAGGTGCTTTGTGTGACTCCCTAAGTCCCCTAAATGCTGCTAGAATTTGAGTCTGCTTTTTCCTAGATCACGAAATCCAGCAGTAAAGTCCACAGCTTTGGGAAGAGGGACCAGGCCATTCGGAGGAACCCCAGTGTTCCAGTGGTGGTGAGGGGGTGGCTGCACAAGCAGGTGAGGAGACGGGGAGGGTCAGGGAGGGGAGGGGGATGGCTCTTGCTGATCTCCTTCCTTACCCTGGCCCCTAGGAGCTGAGAACAGACTCATAATAAGCTTTCTGTTCCTGAGTTTGTCTGAGGCAGGTATGCTGTCCATTTTTATGAGTGGACCACCTGCTCAGTGGCTACAGCTTCCCTCCCCAAACCCACTTGACCCCTTGGGCCCCCAGTGCTATTGGCTGCCCTGGGACCCAGGCACTCATGTGGGTGGGTCAGCATAAATCCAGCCTTACCGCCAAGCCCTGGCCAGCACTTGCCCTCTTGATGTTAAAGAGCCTTTGCTATCATTTGGCTGAAAAATCCCATCTTTTCCTGTCCTCTGCCCAGCCTGGTCTAGCACACATATCTAGCTCCCCTTGCACCTCAGATTCCGAATCAGCCAAACTCAGCTCATTGCCTCCTCACCCCTTACCTCTCTTTTCTCCCCAACTTATTTTTTTCTGGACCTTGGTGATGATACCACCATTCTCCTAGGCACCCTGGTTAGAAACAGCTCTTTCTTCTCCCACATCCCTTCACTCAGGAAGCCCTGTCGGCTCCCCCAAGGCTCTCCTGCATCTCTGAACTCACCACTAATTGTTCTGTCTCTTGTCCTCTGGCCACAAATAGGCTGTGAGCTCCCAGGGCCAGAGAACATGTCCCTTTTGTCTCCTTCCTTCTCTCCTTGCCATCCATCCATCTGTTCTTCCGTCTGCCCATTTGTTTACCAAGTGCCTGTCAGGTTCTTTTTTTTTTTTTCCTCAAAAATTTATTTATTTTAGGGGCGCCTGGGCGGCTCAGTCGTTAAGCGTCTGCCTTCGGCTCAGGTCATGATCCCAGGGTCCTGGGATCGAGCCCCACATTGGGCTCCTTGCTCCGTGGGAAGCCTGCTTCTCCCTCTCCCACTCCCCCTGCTTGTGTTCCCTCTCCGCTGTGTCTCTGTCAAATAAATAAATAAAATCTTAAAAAAAAATTTATTTATTTTAGAGAGAGGAGAGAGGGAGGGAAAGAGAGTGTGTGTGCATGCAGGGGGGAGGGGCAGGGGGAGAGAGAGAGAACATTTTGGCAGACTCTGCACTGAACGCAGAACCCAACCTGGGCCTCAATCCCACAACCCTGAGATCACGACCTGAGCTGAAACCAAGAGTCGGACGCTTAACTGACTGAGCCACCCAGGCGTCCCTGCCTGCCATACTCTAAGTGCTTTCACAGCACGGATGAAGAGGTGAAGAACACGTGGTTCCCACAGTTGAGGAACTCAGTCTGCTGGGGAAACTGGCCCCTCTCACATGGCCTATCATCGCCCTCACAGTCTCTCACATATCATACCATCCAAAAAAACCCCACAAACTCCAAGAGCTGTGATGTTAATTTTTACCAAACACTGTGTGGGAAGACAGAGGAGGGCATTACATTGCACACCACACAGAAGTCCCTAGAAGTCCCCTTGAAGTCTCTCTCCCCTCAGACTCCCCATGGCAGCTTCTGTAGCTCTCTAGCCTTCTCTGTCAGACACTGTGGGTGCCTCTCTCAGTGATACCCTCTTCCCTCACAGCTCTCTCTTTCCTTGCCTCTCTGCCCATCTCTTTTACCCGAATAACCTTCTGACTTTTCCATTTGCATCCCCGTCCCCATTAAACAAAAGTATGCTCCTTTGATATGTGGAGGGAGAGGGAAGGGGCTCTAAGTAATTCTTCTCCCCAGCCCCCACCGCCCAGCCTGGTAACTCTAAGAGGCCTGTGTGGAGTGCTGTGGACACAGCACAGATAATGTAGCTGTGCTTGGGGGAGTCCTGAAAGGCTTCCCAGAGGAAGTGACATTTGCAGTAGGTGTGGAGGATGGAAGGGAGTTTTCCAAACAAAGCAATACGCTAAGATCTTAGAGATCATCTGGTCAGAGCAGAAGATGAAACCAAGAAATGCATGAACTCAGCAAGTTAAATTTGTTTTTAGCACTTTAGTAAGTGGAGAATGAACGAACTTCATGTTGTGCTTAGGTTTAGTGACTGACATAACTTATTTTTTAAATTTAAACTTGTCGAAAACTTTTGCAGAAGGAAAACAGTTTTAATAGCTAAAAGCAGCTCTGGAGTTTTCCTGGGTTTGGCAGAAAAATGACCCTATAGCCCTACTATTTTCCTATCCTGGCCTTGTTCTTTTAGAATTTTCACAATCACCTAAAATGTTTTTAATAAATGTATTGATTTACATTTTAGATGCGTAAAGACAAATTCATGTTATGAGGCAATTTGACAGCAAGACAATCCAAGTCTCTTTACGTTGAATGGAAGGAAAATCCATGGCAAAATTAGCCCCTTATGATAGAGAACTGAACTTAGTCAAATGAGAACTTTGCCTCATCGATTTAAATTCCTTGTTCTATACTGTGTAAATCAATTTTCTCATCAGTAAGTGGAGATATTTTATAGATAGTACCTAAATAAATAAATAGCTTCCTTTTTGTTAAAAACTGATTTCTTTCTTAATGGAAGAACTGTATTTTTTGAATTCACATCTTCCTTTCTGAAAGGATACTTACATTAGTCTGTTTCCAGGACACACATAAAACTTCCTGGGGACAAACCATAATTGAATCTAAATTTTAATGTCTTATTAAAAAATGACCTTGTGATAAAAATTTATTAATTCATTAATTTATTGAAAGAACGAGTGGATATAAGTAAGTCTTTGTTCTAGCATCATGCCATGCATGATTGGAAAGGGGGAAGAGTATGCTCAGATATTGTCTGATTAGTTTTCTTTGCTTTGCAGGACAGTTCTGGGATGAGACTGTGGAAAAGGAGGTGGTTTGTGCTTGCTGATTATTGCTTGTTTTACTATAAAGGTGAGCTAAGGCTCAGGCCACCAAGGGCTCTTTGTGCTGGAGGGGGTGGTGAGGTGATACAGGTGGTTATATTCTCAAATCCATTGATTGGACCAGTGGCCTGAGCTAATTTATAACCTATTTACGTGCCAAAGTGTTCACTTTTACATATGTGAATGGCTGGTGACTTACTTTTACCAATTCTTGCATTCGAAGTGCCATTTGTTGAGTTAAAATAAATAGAATCCAGTTTATCTGCTACTTAGGCTCTCCAAGTCTGGAGTTGTCTCGGCTTCTACCCAGTTTGGAACAAAGGCATACCTTTGACACTATCTGAAGAGGTAGGAAGTATAGATAAATCATTGTATTTTGTAACTTGTTGTCTGGATCTATCCTCTATAATACTGGATGGACAATTGGTGAATTGAGTTGGGCACATGTACATTTACGGAGCCCCAGTACATAGAGTTAGGGGCTGTGCAATAGTGAGAAAGAAGTAAGACTCAAAATATGGAGGAAGAGAGAGTTTACTCGTAAGACAAGACTAGGCAGCATTAGGTGCTTTAGAAGACATTCAACGTGCTTAAGCAATTCAGGGGGAGCAAGAAATTAATTCCATATTGAAGAATTGGGGGAGGCTTTTCAGAATAAGTGGGATTTGAGTTGGGCTTGTAAAGATAGGTAGAGCTTTGCCTGTGTATGGGGGCAAATGGGCATTTCAAGCAGAGGAAACAACTTGAATAAAGTTCTAGAAGCAGAAAAAAATGGAATGACAGACCTGTGAGGCCAGAGTGAGTCTTGCTTGCAGGACATAGTAGGAAAGAAGGCTCAGGAGGTGGGTAAGGGCCAAAATGCAAGAGGACTGTGACACCAGGCAGAGTAAGTTGAACTGCATTTTGCATCTAGTGGGCAGTCAGCAAGTACCTTTGAGTAGGAGAGCGACAGGACCAATGCTGTCATTAGGAAGTTACCTCTGTCATGAAGATGGTTTGGAGGAGGAAGAGAATAGATGTAGAAGGTAGGATATTTTGCACATGCTCTAACTGTGCCTATGAGGTTTGCTCTTCCCAGAATGCCCTTCCCCATCCTTTAAAACACTTCAGATACCACCTTCTGAAGCCTTCTCCGCTTTCCCCGACTTTGTGCCACTCCTGCCTCTGTGTTCCCACAGAACTTGGCTTACTGCCCTGTTTCAGGAGTTCACAGGTTGCGCTGAGCATGTTTCCCTGCCTGTCTCTGCCCCTGACTCACCTGTGTCATTCCTGCGTTAGCCCAAAGGTCCCCAGGGAGCACCTGAATGGACGATCAGGGATTACAGTAGTCCTAGGGAGCTATAAGGAGCCCTGAACAGCGGCAGTGGGATGGACCAACCCAGGGAGGGTGCCACAGAAGGTGATTCTGATGTGTTTTTTCCATTCAAAGACAGCCGAGAAGAAGCGGTCCTTGGGAGCATCCCTCTGCCCAGCTATGTGATCTCACCTGTGGCCCCTGAGGACCGCATAAGTCGCAAGTATTCCTTTAAGGTACTGCCCCCTCCCCTCCAGGGCAGCATTTCTACCCTAAGAAACTTTGTGTTCCCAAAAATGTCTTCATAAAAGCAGTTTTGTTTTTTTTTTGTGGGGAGTGGTGAGAAGTAAAGAAGCTAGAGCATTTCAGGTGCATGTTAACAGTGTTGTAAATTCTTTAAATAAGAATAATACCACATCAAAAGTACTTTCATTTGTTTCTGAGCTTCTGAGTCTCCCAGCTTTGCTCAAGTATTCAGACCCCTCTTTCCTATTGGTACCAGTCCTGTGATTACTCGTCCCCTTCATGCCTTTTTATCACTGTAATCAGCCAGTCTAGTGTCCAGCCACTTACTGCAAGTGATGGTCGCTCGTCATGGATTTATAGCAATTTTATTATGAAAACTTACATTGAGGGTTAGAAGCTCATGTTGAAGAGATTTTCAAGTTTATCTGCTTTGTTTATCTTGTTGAAGAGCAAATAGTATCAAATTTGATTTGTGTTCTGGATCACTAAAGATTCTCAGGGAAATCCCTTCAATAGTAAAACCCCTTTTCTACTTTCTACTTTTCTGCTTGGTCACATGTTAAGTGAGTGCGTCCATGATAATTGATGGCAGTCCTTTGACGCCCTCTGGCATCTTCAGAACTGGGCGTGGAGGCTCCAGGAAGGTGGTGTCAGGCCAAAACTTGGGGAATCCTGAGGCCATCTCGTTTGGTGACCTCCACACATTCCTTCACTGCTGCTGTTTCTTGGGTCCCCTAGAGATGGTAAGGATAGGGTGGGTTGAAGTTCTACTTTACCGGCAGCTGAGTGGAAGTCTCAGCACTGAAGTAAGTGGCCTTTGGTGCCGGTAGCCACAGGGAAACACCCTCTCATACTGCTCAGGATACAAGGCAATGACGTGCATTTCAAGTGGGGTAGGGGCTCCTGCCCCCACTACTCATGTAGCTTAGCTATTCCCATGTTGAGGGTGTAAGATGGCTGGCAAACTGGCACTATCTATGGCTGGCAAACTTGACTTCCGTTCAATCTCTGCTTTAGTACCTAATGTCCAGTACCTTAAACTGGACATTAGGTACTAAAGCAGAGATTGAACGGAAGTCAAGTTTGCCAGCCATAGATAGTTAAAGGATCATCGAAAAGCACAAGAGAAGACACCCAGCGCTCTGTGGGTTAAAGAGAGTGTTGGTATGTGGTATCCATGGTGTCTGCATCAGTGTTTTGATCTGGAGTCCCTTGTGGAGGTGGTGGTGGCTGGAAGGTCAGTCTTCATCTTCTACCTTTCCTTCCTGGACTGGTGCTTTAGCTCTGTTCATGGCCAGGTTTGAGCTGTCCCTCTCTTTCCCTTGGCCGTCACCATCCCCAATGACTGCAGAGTTGCTATAGGTTGAAGATTCTGGGATCCTTCCCTATTTCTTGTTGCATAACATAGTATTGCCTTATAATTGTAAAACTTTTATGACCAGAGAAGTACTTCTATCCACGGGAGCTCATTTAAGGTCGTGGAGAGCCAGTGTTGTAAGGTCAGTGTTATTAGTGTTATTTTATAGATTAAGAACACGAGGATTAGATGCTTAAGAAACTTGTTCAAAGTCATAAAGCTAGAAGATGATGGTGACAACTTGAACATGAACTCAATCCTCTTACAATTGCGTTACAGGGAGGGAGGACAGTTCCTTTCTCTACTTTTCTTCCACATCTTATTTTGGTCACCTCCTGCACACACATTGCGGGAGGTGGGAAGTGATTTGAATGAATGTTCATTGTTATCATTTTAGGGATACTCTTCTATTTAACATTCAGAAGCCTCTCCTGCTGATTGACGGCTCTGAAAACATTGTGTTCAGTGGGTTTCAGGCTGGCCTTTTGCAGCCTAAAAGTCTTCCTCAGAAAACCTTCCTTTCTAGGGCTCAGTGTTGCTACTGGGCAGACAGTTGGGATAATGTTGTATGTAATTTTTGGGGACAGCATTTGAAATATGGTCAGAGTAACTGATTGTAACTATATATATTTCATCTTAACACTTCACTGGGAGGTGTGAAAACAGATTTAGAAAAACATCTTTTATGTGTCGTAGATTCTTTTCTTTTTGAAAAAAAATTTTTTTCTTAGAAGGACTTCAAGACTGTTCCTTAACTAAATTTTTGTCTGAGAGACAGAAGGTATACATGTGTTTGGGGGATCCCTTTGGGGGGATCCTCAAGGTCTGAGAACAGACCAGAGCTGCTGCAGGCAGGTCTAGTGGTGTTCAGGTGGTTCTCCACAGAGGGCTGTGGTTTCCTGAGTGTCAAAGAGTTCCCTTTCTCTTGGGTTGCAGCGTTGTTCTTTTAAGGGCCAGGAAGTGGGACCCTTGGGCAGTTCAGGATCCATGTTCTTGGGCACACTGAGGAATGCACATTGTTTAGTGTCCTGGGCCTTACGCCTGCTTCTGATGTCAGCTCTTCATTATTTCCAGAACTGAAATTCTCTGACTGTTGTTAGGGCACCTTGCCTGAGATTGTTGAGAGTATCTGTGGTGGTAGGTAGGCACAGCCTGAAAGGTTACATGGTCCTTTCCTTGTCTTTCTTTTTCAACTGTGCCCACAGCCTGGCAGCTCCTATGCATTACCAGCTGGTGCTAGATGGACTCTGAGACGCAGGCAGCTCTGTAGGAGAGCCAGGCGGGGCTCTTGGTGGCGTCTAGGAGACGCAATGCCCTGACCGGCAGGCCTTTCGTGCTCTGCTGGCTCATCTGGGTGCCTCCCCAAAGAGCTCCTGTTGGGTGCACAGCCACCCTTGGCCTGCTGGTCACCTCTCAGCAAGCTTGCCCCTCAGATCCAGAATCTGGAGCAAAGAACATCTCCACACAGCAAAGGGTCCAAGGATCCTCAATGGGGAAAAAGCCTTTATTGGCCTCCTCTGAGCTGTTCTTCCTCTCTTAAGCCAAGGGTTCCTGACCTGAGCTCTACAAATCCCCAAGTGTCAGTGGATAAATCACATCTTTGCTTTTTTTAACCTATAACGTTTCCTTTGATTAAGAAAACAGAGAAAAACAGGTATCTGTAACACCTGTGCCTTGGTCACTGGTAGAAACCAGAAAGCGCTTCATATCACATTATGACTGGTGTAAATATCTTGAAATAGCATTATGCTCGTTGCCACTTTGAAATTACAATAATCATTACTACATTTCTTATGCAATGAATTATTAAAGAAGCACCCATATCATTACACCACATTTAAGAAAATTTTGAAAACTACATTTCAGTACAACAAATTTCCTTTGTTCTGTTTGCATCCGTAGAAACATTCTGAGAAGAGTTCTTAGGATTTATGAAACCATCCAAAGGGTTCATGCCCCCCCCCCACCAAGATTAAGACCCCTGCTTTAGATTCTGGCTGAAGGCCAGCCAAGACATGTGGTTTTTCCACTTATTTATATTCAGCAAACTTTCATTGTGCTCCATTGTTCTCCTTGGTAGGATGCAGATTCTGGGGATACAACAATGAGAAGGATAAGGTCCTTGCCTTCATGGGGCTTATATTCTAGAGTCCCCATCAGCATGGAGGTTGTTAGGGGGTGAGAAGAGAACAGGGAAGAGCTGCCCTTTTCCTCTCCCGTTTCAGCTTTGTCCTCCATCTACTCTCCTCTACTGCCCTGCCACTATTCTGTCTTGGCTGTTGTCATCCCTCCTGTTGGAACTAAGTTTCTGCCAGAACCGTGCCTGACACATGGTGAGTGCTCTGTAAGTGTTGGTTACCCCGCTTCACCCCTCGGACTGCAGCCTCCAATCCATCCTCCGCACTGTTTCTGAATTGCACGTCTGTTCAGGCTGTGTGCTCTCACCATAAATCTGTCAGTGGTTCCCCATTGCCTGCAGGATAAAGCCCGGTCTTGGTTTACCAGCCCCACCTCACCTGTCCAGTCCCATTTTTAGCCACTCCTCTTAAACTTTCCCCCCAGCCCTGTGCAGTTGCCTGGGGCCCCAGGGCATTTCTTGCCCACAGGCCTTTGCCTGAGCTTCAGCCACAGCCCAGAATGTTTTTTTTTTTTTTTTAAAGATTTATTTATTTATTTATTTATTTGAGAGAGAGAGAGAGCGAGCACATGAGAGGAGGGAGGGTCAGAGGGAGAAGCAGACTCCCTGCTGAGCAGGGAGCCCGATGTGGGACTTGATCCTGGAACTCCAGGATCATGACCTGAGCCGAAGGCAGCCGCCCAACCAACTGAGCCACCCAGGCGCCCACAGCCCAGAATGTTCTTTACTCAACTCTTACTGGTCCTTCAGGTCTTTGCTTGGGGGTCACCTCCTTCAGGAAGCCTTCCTTGAGCCCTCTGGACAGGTTAGGTGCCCTTCTTCTGTACATCCGCAGCTCTTCTATCACTGCACTGCAAGGGGTTGACTTACCTATCTAGAGCTTTCACCAGGAAAACTAGCCCATCAGCTAGTTCTGCCTGGGTAGATGGGGCTAGTCCCATTCTGTAAACAGAGACCACATAGAGCAGTCATTTGTATTCGGAGTCATGGTCAGGTAACTCTGCTTACATTTCCCAAGTTCAGGCTTTCTTGTAATTCATGTTTAGTTCTCTGTACATTAGAAATGGGGAGAGGGCAGAGAAGAATCTTCCAAATTTCTAGAAAGTTCCTTCAGTCAGTCAGCTTAGATTACTCAAGTGACTGGTCTTATAATAACCTCAGCTAACATATCTTTTGAGCCTTAAAAATGGTAGGCTTTTTTAACCAATAACGTAATAATTATTGTAATTTCAAAGTGGCAATGAGCATAATGCTATTTCAAGATATTTACACCAGTCATAATGTGATATGAAGCACTTCCTGGTTTCTACCAGTGACCAAGGCACAGGTGCTACAGATACTTGTTTTTCCCTGTTTTCTTAACCAAAGGAAATGTTATAGGTTATATTATCTCTTTTAATGCTTACACTGCCTTAATGTAAACATCATCATCAACCACAGTCCCATTTTAAAGATGAGGAAATAGAGGACTGGGGAGGTTGAGCAGCTTGTCCAGGGCTGCCCTGGGGTAAGAAGCATGCTCACCATGCACGTCAGGCTGATTCTAGGGCCTGAGTTCCTACCCAGTTCATTGTGCTGCTCACAGTCAGCCCAAAGGTTGGACCTCAGGAGTTCCTTCTTAATGTCAACAAACGGGCACCACAGTCTTTGTAAGTCACGAACCTGCAGTCTCATCCTTGACAATTGCCGTTCTCAGCTCTCATGTCCAGTCCATCCCCAGGTCCTGCTGCTATTACCTGCTACTTTTATCCAGACTTGGGGCAATCCCCTCCTTCTCAGCCCCTGCCACCGTCTCTCACCTTACTCCTGTAGTGGTCTCCTGCCTCCTGTCCCCTCATCTGCCCCAGCCTGGGCTCTAACCTCTCCATATTGTAGCCAGAGTGGTTTTTCCAGACAAACATCTGATCTCCCCACTCCCCCACTCAAACCCTTTAATAGCTTCTCCTCGCTCTTGTAAACGAGACAAAACCCTAACATGACCACAAGACCCTGGTGACCTGGCCTTGCCAACTCCAGTGACTTCATCCCACCCTGCTCTCTCCTCTTCTCCTTACCAGGCATGCTGGCTTCTTCCTTGAACATACCATACTCTTGTCCACACTGGGGTCCCACACGTCCCCCTGTGCTACTCCTACTAAAATATTTGCTACCTATGTAGAGGGCAGCTTAAATGTCACTTCCATAGGTAGGTCCTTCTGTGGGGCAGGCCAGGTTCCCCAGCTGTTCTCTCTCACAGCCTCCTGAGCTTTTTGATGACACTTACTACACTTGGAGTTATTTGTCCATGGTCTTTCTGTGTGACTGTAAACTTCTTGGTCTCGATTAAGGCTGTCCCTTCTGGTATAGTGCCTTTCACATAAACAGTAAATGATAAATTATTGTTAAATGAATGAGTTAGAGAATGAGTCAGTCAGTTGATAAGCCCCGACCTAGGCCTCTATGTTCTAAAGGTTGATGCTGGGGGCGTGAGGTGTGAGCATTCCAGCTTCCTTCCCTACTGTTGGATCAAGACCAGAGTCCTAAGGGCCAGGAGAGCAGTCATATCCTAGGGGCATTAAGTTTTTGAGGTAAAATGTTCCTTGCTTACATCCTCATTTCCTTTAGGTATAGCCTGAAGTTTTTTCTTCAGTTGTACAAAGTTGCCTAGGTGGACTGTGTTAATTGGAAAGCGAAGAGCAGATGGGAAGGGAGCATCCTTGAGATGAGACTAGGGAAGGGATGAGAAGACTTATCATCATCTTGGTTCTGGCATCTTCCTCAGACTCAGTGCACTTTGAACTTGGTTCACGTGGCCAACTCCCTATACTTCTCACCTTTACAGTTAATACATCTTTTATGCCCAAGCACAGGCAGAATGTAGTCAAGAACCTATTCTTCAGAACCAAGGGCAGCTGAAGACAGCACATATTGGCAATTTGGTTAGAAGTTGTTTGTGATCGTGTGTAGCTCCTCTGTAATGATGGATCTAACTTCCAAGGCCCATTTGCAGACATGCCAACTCTCCATGTTTGAAGAGTGTCCCATGTTGATTTCCTGGACAAGCCTGGCTCCATGAACACTAGTGTAGTGGGGACCTGCTCTCTCTGTCATACCCTTGAGGGTGCTTTATGCTTATGGGTGGCCTTGTGTCTGGGGCGAGTGCCTGTCCTAGAACTCTGTGACTGCGCAGAAGGTCTGGGAGGAGGTATCAGAGATGTTATGGGGTCATTGTCCAGGGGAACTTTTCCAAGAATTTCTGCTGATTCATAGTAAGACAAAACATGTTCCTTTTTATTCTTTTCTCACTGTCATATCTCCACCTTGCTAAAACAGGAGGAATCTTTTCTGGGACAGTGAATAACCCCTTATACATGCAAGGAAGGATATCGGGTTTGCTTTGGTCACTGTAGGGACTCAGCTTCAGGCTGTTTGCTTGTACTCTCTTAGAACTAGCTGGATAGATTCAGGTATGTCAATGTCAGTAGCAGGCCCATATTTTATATGCATTTTGGACCTAGATGTTAGTGTGGGTTGCAGAAGCCAATGTTGACAGTTCATCTGAGAGGTTTCATCCATGACCATTAGTGATTCTAGAAGCATGTCATTTCCCAGCTCCTAATTGGTTCTTTCATTTTGTTTTCTCTGACTGGTCCTTGCACGAGGTCTGCCTTTCAATCTGGATCCAGATTATTGGACCAGTGATCTGTGTAATCATTACTAATTTCTGGGTAGGACCTGGGAACGTTGTATAGAGAAGCTTGGACTCAGAATCAGATAGACCTAGGAATAAATCCTGGTTCCAACTCTTCATTTATTCAACAAACATTTACTGAGCACCAACGATGTGCCAGGCACTATTCCTGGGGATACTTAAGTGAACAAAATAGAGTCCTTGCTCTCATGGAGTTTCTATTCTGGAGGGAAGAGACAGATGATAAGCAAACTAGTGTGTAAAATAGATAATACCAGGTAATGTTAAATGCTGTGAAGAATCTGTCCCTGGGCATGCAGATCAGAGAAAGTTCCTTAACATCTCTGACCTTCATTTGCCACATTTGTAAAATAGAGATTCTGTCCCTACCTCTCAGGGCTGTTGGGATTAAAATGAGATTAAAGCCATGGCAGTACCCAGGAGACACATAGTAGGCACTGATCCGCTTTGCTGATCTTCCTCCTTACACCATCATCCTATGTAGATTTGGTGAGGTTTTTCATTGCAAAGTTAGGACAGGCCCCTGCCTATCAGAACACAGAGGGAGGAACTGGTGTTGCCTCTTGTTTGCACCTATCCTGGATGCTTTTCAGTGGTCATTTCTGGTACCTCTTCACGGGCTTTTTGCAAGGATACATGTGAAAGCACCTTGAGGCTTCCTAGTACATAGTAGGTGCACAAGAATTTTCAGTCAAATGTCAAACTTTGTAGTGCCTCTTTGGAGAGACAGAAGAGCAGCAGCTTCAATGGGCACACGTCACATTTCATGGCCAAGCTGGGAGGCTCAGTGAATACCTGCACTAAGCCACCTGCTGTTACTGCTGATTGTTGGCTCAATTCCAATAATCGCGTGCTTCAGAAGAACCCAAACAGGGATTCCAGAGAGTTTGCTTCAACAGAATGAGGGTTTTGAAAAACTCTCTTTCGCATACGCCTTGACTGTGTACCCTCCCCTGAGCCAGAGGAAGAGAAATAGGAACAGGTACAGCTGCAGGCCTTTACCAGGGGGACCAGACACAGCTGTTGCCAGGGCTGACTGCACTAGGAAAGGGGAATCCAGCCATGATGTTTTCCAGGTGTCAGAACAGGCTGGGTGGTGCCTGGGCTTTTAATCTGGAAGAGGGGAGAACATGGCTGGAGTGTCTTCTTGTTTCGGCTCCCAGAAGTAAAACGTGTGTTGACCTCTCTGACCTTGGGGTTCCGCCTCCTGTTCACAGGCTGTGCACACAGGGATGCGAGCACTCATCTATAATAGCTCCACGGGGGGCTCTCAGGCCGAGCAGTCAGGCATGAGGACCTACTACTTCAGTGCCGACACCCAGGAGGACATGAACGCATGGGTCCGGGCCATGAACCAGGCTGCACAGGTGCTGTCTCGATCATCGCTAAAGAGGTCAGTCCTAATGGAAGGTCCCTGTCAGAGAACTTCCCACACTAGGATGGGGATCCAGATAAGAACACTTGGGTGCCCCAAATTCCACTTTCATTCACTCGTATATAAACACTGCCCTTTCTTTGAGGTCCTGTTTAACAATGAATTCTTCTGGGAGGAGAATGCATACACAGTAAGGTCCCCCAGAAGTTATCTGGTCCTCTTCATTGGGCAGAGAAATGCAAAGACCTGGAAGGGTGAAGTGATTGCCTGGGATATGGAGCCTTGGAACCTGGTGTATTTCTCATTTGTCCTTCTCTGATGTGTGGTGGGAGGGACAGCCTGGGGGCGCCAGACTGGGGAAGAGGGAGAGACAGATGAGAAAGATCTTACAAACTGAAAATGTGCCTCAAGACTGCCCACTATGTTGCTGGGGCTAGCTAGGAAGCTATTGTCCAGCCACACCTTCCCTCAAGTGGGCAAACCAAGGGTACAATCAAGGATCTTGAAATTCTTGAGTTTGTTGGCTGTGGGTAATTCCTTGAGAGAAAGTGCAGGAGGATGATGAGTGGAGTCAGGGGCTCAGAGAGGGTAAGGGAGCCCTGGAAAAGTCACCGTGTGCTTTTAGCCAGTCCTCCTCTGACATGGGCCCATTTTTCACTATCTGGACATCTCGCTCTGTTTAGAGGCCTCTTTGACTATGGTCTTTCAGTGAGGCCTCAAAACAAAAGGTTATTCTCCAGCAACCTAAAGGCAGGATTTTTCAGCGACTATAAATGGATTTCATATGGTGTGTTTTAGCTTGTCAACCTTCCCCCCCCCAAAATCCTTCTTTATTAGTGTATGTGGATCAACTTTATTTTGGATTGTTGTATATGGTATTTTATACGACCGTAACGCTCCAAACCTTGGATGGTTTATTTTTTCTCGACTTTACCATTATAAATAGTCCTGTAATGAAAAACCTTCTACAGGCCTCTGCATGTGTGTCTTTCAAACTCCTGGGTCAAAATACAATGCATTTTTTATTTTAATCAGTATACCAAATTGCCCTTTAAAGAAAGCTGTATAGTCCCCTAGTGAGAGTGCTCATCTCCCCACATCTTTGCCAGTAGTTGATATTACCAAGCTTTTAAATTTTTTGTTGAGCTGCTGTGTAGATAAATAGTCTGGTTATTTCAGTGTGTATCTGCATGATGGTGGAAATCTTTTCTGTTTATTGGCTACTTATATTTCCCCTCCAGTGAACTGCCTGTACCTATCCTCTACCCATTTTTCCACTGAGTTGTATGCCTTTTCTTGGTTGCTTTCTTTCCTGTGTGCTGTGAAATCTGGCCAGTTTAGGATGCAGCTTAGCCTCTTGGTTGATGGTAGGCTGTCCAGTCTTATGGTGAATGGAATCTCATTTTCCCTTCTTTTGAAAATCAGGATGCTGTTTGCCAGCCTCTAATATTCTGCCCATTTTCCCATTCTCTTTGATTCCTCAGAGATCACCTGAGAGGTTTCTTGAGCCTGTTTCTGAGTTCCCTTCGGGCCCTGGGGTGCTGACGCCTGGGGCCTTTCCCATCTTCCTCCCTGTCTTGCACTTTCAGTCTCTCCTAACTAAGGTTGTTTGCCTTTTCATGGAGAAGATCATGCTTCTTGATGAAGATATGGAACTAAATCCAGAAGTTAAAGCGTTCAGCTTTATTTATGCGCATCATCTTCCCCAAGCAGAGTTACTTGTATCTCATATTCTTTTAAAGCTCTCCCCTCCTTCATTTTAATTCTTAGAGAAATAGAAAGTTTGTTTTTGTTTTGCTTTGCTTTAAGTAAACCAAGCTCAGTTCCTTCTAGACTTTGCCCTTTTTGCCATCATTCCTGTGGGCCTATCCCGCTGTGCATCTGTGCTTGATTTTGTGCCTCACCTTCCATTTTTGTGCATGTCCTTTTCTAACTTGAGCTCTGAGAGCTGCCTGTGTTATAATACTGGCTTCTTTAGGCCAGCAATGGCAAATGGGTTCCTTCTTGTGTTCCATTTCTGCTCAGTTCATCATGGCTAACTAGGGCACTGGGTCAAAGGTAGCCTGAGAATGAAATCAGGCTTAACAGGAAGAAGTATTGTGATTGAAAAGTGATGCCTGCCTCGAATCATTCAAGATTAATTTGATAGCTGATATTTGGCTATTTTTTTTTTTAACTTTTTCCTACCTGAAGATTTTGTAATTAACTATCTCCAGATTCTGTTTTGGAGAGGCTCCATCCCTTATCTGTTGGGCTGCCTTCCTTCCTCTTTTAGGGTCTCAGGCTATTGTCCCTAGATTTTCTCTGAACTTTTAAAATTTGTTATTATGCCCTTAATAAATTATTAAAATCCCATGATCATGCTTGCCCAAGGTTCCTTCCTTAAAAAACAACAACAACAAAAACAAAAAACCCAACTTGTTTTACCTTCTGAGTCTGAATAAAGGCAGAATAGAATTTTCCTTTAGCTTTCTGAGAGATGAAATAGCGAAGCAAATCCAGACTTATTAAATGTTCTGTTTTCCCAGAATAAGATGTTCAGACATTTGGTTAGTATTCATTAGGCAGTACTAAATCTTCTCTCTCCTCCAGTTTGGTGATCTGCATTGGAAACCCTCCATCTGTGTTAGGTGGGGGGCCCCAGTGGTCATGTATCAGTCTCTGCCCAACTTGATTCTCACCAGATGCTTCTGTTCTTATTCATATGGGCAGATGCTTTATGTATGTGGTATATATAGTAGGACTCCTGATTGAGGTAGCAGAAGATGCAGACAAATTTATCTTTTCTTTCTTTTTTTTTTTTTTTTAAAGATTTCATTCACTTAGCGAGTGAGAGAGCATAAGCATGGGGAGGAGCAGATGGAGAGGGAGAAGCAGACTCCCTGCTGAGCAGGGAGCCCGATGCCAGGCTTGATCCCGGGACTCCAGGATCATGACCTGAGCCAAAGGCGGATGGCTTAACTGACTAATCCACCCAGGTGCCCCCAAATTTATCTTAAAAAGGGAGGAATTCATTGTTTGCCTTCACTAAAAAGTTGAGGATAGGTCTAGCTTTAGAAACAGGTGGGCGCAAGGCTCAGACAGTATTGTAAGTCATTGTCTCAGGCTCTAGGCTCTGGCCACTTCTGGTTTGGATTCATTCTTCAACTCCATGTGGAGGTCCCTCGCAGATCCTGGTGGCAAGGTAGCTGCGGTAGCCCTGGACTCCTGTCATCTGGGGGGGGTGGGGGGGAAGTCCAGAAGGAAAGAGCCAGAGTCTTGTTCAGAGCCATTCTGATTAGACAGGCTTAGATCACATTTAAACCCTAAAACATGTACTGTGGCCAGGGAATGCACATGCTGATTGGCACAAGCCCAGGATACATACTTCACTTCTGAGAACCAGACTACAGGGACTGAGGGTGAGGTAGGGGTGAATGCCCACATCAATGCTGGGGCTGTGGGCAGAGGAAGGAGAAATGACTCATTGGGATGGGATAAAGGAGGCACAGACAATTAACATTCAGGCTGATTCACCCCTCACTTTCTTCGGTATTGGTTTATTTACCTTTCATTTTCTACCCAAAGCTTAGTGTTTGAAATCAGATAGATGTGGGCTCAAATCCCAGCTCTACTACTTTCTAGCTGACTCACTTGTACAGATTAGGTATGCTTTTTAAACCTCAGTTTTTCTTAGTCCATAGAGCTATTACAAGTATTAAGTTAAATACTTAAGTTTTTTAATACTTAATACTTTAATACTTAATACTATTACAAGTATTAAGTTAAATGCGCCCTGGTGGCTCAGTCGGTTTAGTGTCTGCCTTCGGCTCAGGTCATGATCCCAGGGTCCTGGGGTCAAGCCCCACATCAGGCTCCCTGCTCAGTGGGGAGTCTGCTTCTCCCTCTGCCCCTGCTCATGCTCTCTCTCTCTCTCAAGCACGCGCTCACTCTCTCTCAAATAAATAGTATCTTTTTAAAAAAATAAATGTATAAAGTGCTTACTTAATAGGATACCAAAGATACTTTATATCAGATATGCTACCTTCCATAGGGTTTGGTTTAACAGTGTCATGGGCTCTTCCAGTTTCATCATTCATCCTCTGGATCACATTGATGTAGAGTCTTCTAGGAACAAATTGTACTCTCTCCCTTATCAGGATGTACTTATCCCCTAGCAGCTGTGGAGTTGTGGTTCTGTTCTGCCCAGGCTCCTGCAGCACCATCTCTCCACCTGCCCCTCCCCTCCTTCCTCTTCCAGTCTCTTCCCACATCATTCCTCTGACCCAGGAGCAGAGCTGAGCACCCTTGCTGCAACTCCTGACTTTATTCCCTTGTTTCCTACATAGGCTTCAGAGTCTCTGGAGAGAAGTTCATTCACGTATTCTTAAGGTCCAACCCCATGCACTGGAAGGGGTGCTATGCAGTGCTGCCAAAGCCTGCTCACTAACTCCTTCTGTTCATAATTTCTTCCCCCCATTTCCGTGTTCTTCCACTTGCCGGACATTGGACTGTCTGGAAATCTGTCCTCCCCACTCCCCTGCATTGGACTGTGTTTTATCTCTTGTCTAAGGATATCTTGTCCTTTCCAACAAGTTAAAGCACTAAGCAAGGAGGTCAGCTTGCCTTGACAGCTCACAAAACTGGCAAGCAGCTCAGATAGGAAGGCCTGTCAGAAGACCTCTCTTTTCTGTTTCCAAATCTCTCTAGTTTCTGTGTAACTGTAGTCCTGTCTTTGGACTGAAGGAACTTATAGTCTAATCACCTTTGGAGTAAAAATCAATTTCCTCAGAGATTTTGAGCACTGCATGGGTGTGGCCCCTATGACGCCTTTGGCTCATGTCTTGCTATTCCCCATTCTCTATGCTCCAGCAATACTAAATTTCTTGAATTGGGTGCATTTGTATATGTGTTCATCTATTTAGTCTTTTATTCCGCAAGTATTTATTGAGGGCATATTGTGCATCAGACACTGTTAAAGATGATGAGAAATACAGCAGTGTTAGAGGCAAAGTCCCATGCATTCTTGGGTAGGGATG